CATGTGGCAAGAAAGAAAGGCTACAGACTGACAAAGTTGACGCTTGATCAGTATTACGTCTGCGCTCTATTAAGCATACACTAGGATGTCTGCCACACCTAAATTATGTGAATGATTGCCCCACTCAGACAACTTAGAATGAGAAAGTAGCCAGATGATCTGACCTCGAGAAACAGCATAACGACTAAAGAGTTATTTGAAGTGTTCAGTTAAGAAACACAGTTGGAGAAATGGCCAATGGTCCCCGAAAATGACCGGATTACAATTTGCCTCCAAAAGCTAAAAATAATATCAGCCCCATTAATATGCCAAGCACAAACTGTAGGTGAGCAGATCTCCTCTTGCAAAATGCTCGCCGCGCTTGGCTGAGTCATATTAATGGACTTACGAATCAGAGACAATATGAGCAGGCTCTTCACCAAGATCCACGACTGCCTTCAGATGGCCAGCTTCCACTTCAACGGCAATAAAATCATCAGTTGGTACTGCGCGAGTTCCAGCAGCGCCAAGTTCGTTTCCGAAGAACAATATCAGCCCTGGACCAAAACAGCATAGTAAGCAACTCGGATCAGTCTTTTTTCAGTGTTGTATAACTTTTACCTTTGACTGCTTAAATCTAGCCTTACTTGAACCTAATTTTCTATTTCCTAACATAACCAGATAATTTTCAGAAAATTTTTAAACTCTCTTTGATTACTTTTGTATTTTTTAATTGCAAAAACCAACTTTTATGCCTCGCTGCTGAATTTAGAACAAATTTTTCCCCAAATGAATAATTTCCGGTAACTAGTCGTTCACTGAAAATGACCTAGCTCTTCTGTCTCTCGAGTTAGCGATTTTCCCAGCAAAACCTTTACTTCACATGCACTAATTAGCAACTAAAAGAAGGAAAAGAAGCAACGCTTACCATTGGATTCAGTTGTCCTAAAGAAAAATTCGATTACTGTGTATGCAGCACTACGTGTAATTCGTGGAGGTAGCGGCAACTCCAAACTGCTTCCTTTCTCGAAATGTGCACCCAGCTTGATCTGCAAGTACTTCCTCCGAATCGGTATTTACCGGGACAGAAATTCGATTAACGCGTCCAGCAGCACTTTTGCTTGCTTGCCTTAATCTTCTCCCACAAAATGAGCACATTTCGTACTGATTCAGCTGTTTAAAAAAAGAGGAATTTTAACATACCCTGTTGGCCGAATCCCGAGCAAGCGCGATCTTCTCTTTCAGCGAATTTAGCTTTTCGCGGCACTGCTGAATTGCCATCGATGTATTTGAGGCAGCATTCCTCAACAGCTCCAACTCCTCTCTGACAGGAACACTTTCGTTGGCTAACTGAAAATGCCTATACATCATGCCTTTCTAGGTGAAGGTACACAGTACTCCCAGATAGGTTAAGGGATGGAACTCGAGCTTCTCCCACCCATCCTCTCCCTTGTCAGTGCTTCGCTTCCGGGAACACGCAAATGCAGTTGCGCAGAAAAGCCTTTATAAAACTCGCACTAGCTTGGCGCTGCCGATGATTCCCTTTCCGAGGATCGCTGGGTGCGCAACCTGAAGTAGGTCCCGGCCTCATAAAATCTTAGATTAGATCCGTCTATCGAAATCAATAAACTTACAAATTGCTAAAAAATTTCTTCCCTGAACAATAAGCTGTAAAAGTGGAGGAACAGTTTATCAAGTTATAGCATCAAGAGGCGCACAAGTCACAACGCTCTGCACTGTTTAAGAACAAATTAATGTTCAGTGCAAGTAAAACCTTCAACAGCACTTGCGGAACGGAATAACTTAGCAACTATACCCGAATTTCACCCGCAGTTCTTTGGCCTTCTCCAGTTCCTTTTCCTTGCCTCATTCGGCTTTCCAGTAACTCCTTGGTCGAAGAGAGAGAAATATTGCGAAGATTCACAGGAAGCCATAGCAAAGTTTTCTTACGCTTTTAACCGCAGAACAGTTACTCGCAAATAATTGTGAAGGAGCTAATCAAGTACAGACAAGCTAGAAATCTGTGAATAATGTCAATCAGCAACGGCCAAATTTTGAAAACGAACTTTAGCGCAAACCCCGAGGTCAGCACAATTATCATTACAGCGAGCGGAATTTCCACAAAACGCACAAAGTGGTTAAATTGGGTTGTGGCAATTTCCTAACTCATTTGCTGGCTTCAGATCTGGAATTCTATCACTCGTCTCCTCCGTACCTATATAGGGCTTAAATTTAAACTTATTCTCCTAGTTTTGACTGGAAAAAGGTTTGATAATCGATTTGAATTTTACTGGTTCCTAACAGTTCGAAAATATGCTTCAAATTTCAATCCTCTTGTCTTCCACAGCTCCCCAGTTTTACGATGAATGTCGTCGGCGACTGGTAGCTAAAATTGCAGAAAACATAATTATAGATGAGAGCCAACCTTCAAAATTTGTTCTTTTGCCGTACTCAGACTGCTGGCAGAAAGCGATGTGGACAAAACGAATTCATTGCTACGATTCATCAGTTTTTCCAAATCCGGTTTTAAAGCATCAAATTCAGAAACAGCACTCTCGATTGCTGTTTTTGCTTGTTCGGAAGCCGACAACGACTGCTTTACAAGTACATTCTGAAATTCATAAAATTTCTTGATTTTTGTACATTTTTTGCTTATCAAAAAAAATTTGTCCGCTTAGTTAAATTTCGCAATGAGGCACTTGGAAAATACTTCCTTTTTCAACTGAAGTTTTAGAGCATGTGTGCAAAGTTAGCACTCATTTACAAGAGACCTTCCAACTTTACATTTGATGCATGCATGCAAAATTGGCTTCAGTGGAAAGAACTGTGTAAAAACACATCCTGCGACAGCTAACTTATGCATAACCATATACCAAAAGTTTGTAGCTCCCTGCTGTTCACCAAAAAAATTCTGACTGCGTCACTGCTTGCGCTAAAAATCATACCAAGTCTTCAGCATGAAATTTGGGACGAAGTCGATCCACAGTGCTTTTCTGCTTGTCCACAAACGATCGTAATTTCGATGCTTTATCATCGAATGCAGCTTTCAGATTGCTAACGTCATTCTTTACTGTTTGCTGAAGATTTGTAGCTGAACGCAACAGGTCACCAGATTGTTCTCGAGCAAGTTTTGCTGTAGCTACCTGTAAAATTCACTTATCAATGACATTCAGCACTCTTAAAAAAATCCTGCATTTGCTTAGGGCTTGTAATAATTTGACTGCTTTTGCTTATAAGGTTGTCTCCAGCATGCTAATCCTTTCACTATTTTGCGCTTCTCCTCTTTGCTTTTAATTCACTAAATTTACAGCGGTCGATACAGCTTTATCAAAATTAGGAAAGCCATCGAACATTTAAAATATTTTTTCAATTAATTTCATAACGACAAATTCAAACAACATTCATAACCGTGTGATGATGTTTCACTTGCTTTTTTTATTTTTAGAACAACTGTTTTTTTAATGGATCTAAAAAAACCACAAATTCTCGAGCCTTTCTGTCTCCCTCTTTGCACTTTCAAGAACACTCTGATTTGAAAACAAATTGGCAAGGAAAGTCAAACAGTTCAATAACCAATTAGGCCATTCACTATGAAGCATAAGAAATTCAAAATATGTTTGGAGCAGACCGTTCGCTACTTGTTGAATTGTAAGCAATTTTCAAGTGAAAAGTTATGAAAATCACAGGAAGTTTGGGAACAATTAGAAGCAGGCCAAGCAGTATTACAATTATGAAATAACTGAGGTGAGAGGGCTAACTGAAGTCTATTTCCGAATTTGCAAAATGATACGGCGAGGCTAGTCAATACTCGAAAAGAAATGAAGAAGGACAAGTGTAACCGCAGTATGTTTTTCCCCTCCGAGAGAGGAATATGAGGGAAGATATTCAAGATGCACTGAACTCTTTGCTGATTGCTGCTGTTCATGACTAAAACAACTGAGATTACCCAGGGCCATATTTTTAATGCTATTAAATCCCGAATGAAGACATACCGGACTCTTCCAACCCGTGCTACCCGAAAAAGTTGTCTTCCAAGCGTTCGTTTATTATTTCTTGGTTAAAATAAAAAAATGGCCAACACACGGGCTGCCCGTGCGAAGATGCGTTTTTTGCAGAGTTCCCCGCAGTTTTTGTCCCTACCAGCATCGGTTTTTTCGGCAAATGCTTCTAGTTGAAAGAATTTCAGACTAGCCGCCAGAACTGTCAGGAAACATCCCCTTAAAATTCCAGTCTTCTAGCTCCTCACGTTATCGAGT